ATAATAAATTATTTTTGTCAACTGATTAATTGATTATGATTGCACCCTAGACGTCTAAAAATGACTATTTGTACCTACACATTGTTTATTATTTAACAACTCCTTTCATTGCTCTGAAAAACATATGTCATGAAAGTTACACATTTTGCGCCAGTTCAAGTACGCGGCTGAACAGATGAATGGCACCGCGCGCGACCGATTCTCTTGTTTATTATGGTACGCACAATTGGCAGATATCGTGTAGGCCAAGGGGTTAAATAAAAAAGTACGAATTCCGAAAGTACACATTTCCTAAATTTCTTAATCTAATATTTTCATTTATTATTCTGATAACGAGACTTTTTATATTAAAAAATAAAATAAGTATTTCATATTCGTATCACATTCTCTCTCTTTTCTATATTACAAAAAAATATAATATTAAAAGTTCCAATAAAGATTACATGTTACACGAAATCTGTCACAATTTTTCAATCATATTTCCAGAGAATATAACATTAAAAGAAGAGAGTGAGTTGAGTATATAAAGAACAATTGGTTCTAGGAGTGTACTGTGAGCACACGTCTCTGTCCAACAATATGATCCATGAGTTTAAATCTCATCGAAAAACGAAATATGCAGTAACACGTGACATACGAGTTTCTATCGTTCCAGTACCGTTTGAAACTTCGAAAAAAGAAAAAAAAAAGAAAAAAACGAAAGAACGGAATAGAAAAGAGTGAGTGGGAGGTGGGGGATGATTGAGGGGAAAGAAGAAGAAGAAGAAGAAGAAGAAGGGAAGTTATGATTTAGTTGCTCGTAAAGGCACACACAGTCCCGTTGTAAGAAAAATATTAAAATTGAAAATCTTGAATGTACGCAGAGTGATATACGCGTGCGTGATATTGGTGGCCGGCAGCTGTCCTGTTCCCGAAGAGTGTCGCGAGAAGTACGGGGGGGTTGGGGTTGGGGGAGGGTTGGGGGAGGAGGTGGAGGTAGTGTAGGAACCGAAAAAGGTGAAGGAAGATCTAGTTTGTAAAGAGAAAAGAGAGAGAGAAGTGTTGAATGTCTCAGGGTGTGGCACGATATTGTCTCGAAGCTTTCGGTGACTCTGCTGCTAGGACAATGCTACTTTAAAATATTGTCTAAAGTATAAAAAGAAGGGAAAAAAGGGCACACTGAAAGTTGTCCTCATATACTGGGTGAACCTATAAGAACAGTCTATCTATCGTAAGAAAATATTTTCATAAATTGTATTTATTAATTTTTCTCAGAGATATTTTGAGGTTATGTTGAATTTGTTCTTTTTTTTTGGTAATATCATTTTGTTGTTGATAGATATACATATCACAAAAAGATTAAATTAATAAACAAATTGTTTAATACAATTAAATGAATTATATTCCATTTTAAGGGATGGATATAGAATTGATTTGTTTTTGTCAGTTATCAAGATGGCGTTGAATTTTTGTATCGAAGCTAATCCATCTTTCTGTTTAATACCATCGTTTAGTTAGAATAGTAGTATAATTAAAAAACAAATTAAAAAAATAACAAAATAAAATAAAATACAAGAGTTGTTATTAATATAATTTTTGTTCTGAGTTTAAAAATTTTGGAATATTTTTCTCAAGATCAATGGATCAGTTTTTAAAATATAATACGTTGCTGCCTGTGTAACGATAAACCAAAAAAAAACGAAAAAAAAATAAAATAAAAATAAACAAATTGTTATAATTATTATTGAAAACAAAAAAAAATAAAAACAAAAATGTTAAAGTATAAAATAAGGAACGTGAAAAATATTTTCGATACGAACGATAAGAAATGATTTAAAATAATAGTTCTTATCGACTCACCCAGTATATAGGTACAAGTATATGTGTGTATATAAGTAAAGATACATGTTTGTACGTATTTGTATATGTAGGTATGTGTAGGAAAAGGGGTGACTAGAGGGTGTCGAGCCACTTGTCGCGAGGACACACGTGTCGCATGCTATTCGGAGTCAAAAAAGGGTGACGCGAAAGATCCACCCTCTTTCTCTTTTCATCCTACCATTTTCTATTCTGTACAGTATGGATTTGTGTATATGCACGATTTCTGACTCTCAGCTACACCTATATGAGGCGCGGGGATTTTAAAGTGAAATAAATTAGAACCGATGTTCGTCCAACCAGTTCTGTCTCTCTCGTTTTTGGTTTCACCCCAGTTAAAAGGGTTCGGACAAAAAGGGTGCGGTACATTTCTGACTTTGATTACAATGAAACGTTGCCTGATGTTATAGGCAAGCACGTTTGTCATCCTCCCTTATTTTTATTTTCTTTATTTATTTTTTTTCCCTTTTCTTTCTTTTTTTTTTTGAATTTTATTTTATTGCGTATAATTCTTTAGAATCTATTCATAAAAATAATTTTAGAAATTGAAATTTATATTATGCTGATCGTTTTATATTGAGAACAAAATATTATAAACATGAACTGTGGACAAATATTAATTTTTTTTCTTTTTTTTTCATAATAAATTTTACAATTAGGTTCAATAAGAATTTATTAGGCAAATTTGATTAATAATGTTGCAAGTTTATATCATGTAGTTGTATTTCTTATTATGAATCATTCGTATAGTATCATAATATAATAAATTGTTGAGGTATCAAATAGTTAGGGTGTTTCATGTACAATTGGATGGGTAAATCTTCTGTGTATAACTTTTTAATAAGGTCATTAAGATGGTTGCCTAATTTTAAATTGTAGTTTACACATATGTGTTATATTTCTTTTATTATGGATTTTATTTAAAGATTTTTACGTACTTCGTCATTACGGCATGTAACTTGGTATATTCAATATAGTTTTAAGTATGATAAATTGCATCGTTTTCTAGGTTAGTTATGTGACTTAGCTGCTATATCCAATAGTTCAATTCTGTATATGTTCAGATAAGTTTGATTATTGTTTTATGTATTCAAAGTTTATCCAAATATTGAACAAATGAATTTTATAATTTATCTTACAATAAATACATAATTGAGTGGTTACAAAATAAAAGGGTACAAATACACTTTTAACATTTTTGAGCAAAATTACTTCAAAGTTTGTTGATTATTTTAAATAGTAAGTAAGTTTTCAATTTAATTATATAAATATATATTAGGATTGTTTTAATGAGGTTTAAAATATATTTCTATACTTATTTTTTACTTTACTTTTGAAGAGCATCTTTTAAGAAAAAATTAATGAATGATAGATGAAGAAAAAAGAAAAAGTGAAACGTTAAAATTATTGAATAAATTTCGTGAAATTTATCAATCATTAATAGTCATCCTAAATTCTCGTAATATTAAGAATAGATTTACCATTGATAGATGTACAAAAAAATAGCTGAATAAGATGCAAAAGTAAAATCCTAAAATATCTTCAGATACCCACAGATAGAAATCTCGTAAATATATTACACATAAAATAATATTAATCAATAAATTCAATATATTAATCATTATAATCTATACAAACAAGTGTAAATATTGTAAGATACAAATAAATAAAACCTCGATTATGTTGAAGAAATGAACAAAAAGAAAAAGTAAAAATACTCAAGACACAGATCGTAGGTTCAAAAAATATAGATAAATATATTAAATTAATCATAAATAAGATCGACATCATCGTTCACGAGTTCTTCAGGCAAGGTTTCGTAAATTATTTAAAAGATAAAGATCATACGTTCTTTCTCAGTCCCTCTCTTTTGCTTTTTTAATGTTGGATTATTAATTCTTAGACAGTACCGGATGCACACGGTACCTATCCTGGTACCGGTATGCGTTCTGTTCGATTTGATCGTACTCGCCGATCGAATCCACATAACACGTTATATTATCCCAGTAAAACGGAGAACTTGCTTGGCCCAACGGGAGCAGCTGTTTCCTGATGAACGAAGGAAAAGTAAGTAATTCCCTCACCTGCCTCTCCAAATGATTACTAATTGCGAGATATCGTCCTCTCGATACTCGTTGTCCTCCAAAAAACAAACTGAGAGAGGATGGAGTAACATTTTCAAACTTGATGAAAGTTAATCGTGTATATACAGGGTGTCTTATAACTTGTGGTACAATGAAGAAACTGATTCTACATGAAAAACTTCATCGAAAATGTAGAATATTATTTGTTCATATGTGTGGCTTTGTTTTTGAGATCAATTATTTTTTAATTTTTTTGTCGAATACATTGTCAACTTGTTGTTTTCGATTTGATGGATTTTATAATTTTATTTTCAGATATTTCGGATAATATTTTCAATTATGTAATGATAAGTATAAACGTTGGACGTAGAGTAAATGCTGTTATTATAAATTTTATGATAAAAGTTAAGCAAAACGAGGAAGGATTACATTTTTATTCTACAATATATATATATAATTAATATAATTAATTTTCATTCAATCCTCGTAATATTAAAAAAAAGAATATATTTACTATTGATGTACAAAAAAAATAACTGAATAAGATGCAAAAGTAAAATACTAAAATATCTTTAGATACCCA